TTCCTTTCACACTGTGTTTTCGTTCTGATCCCCACCATTTCTATTGTCTACCTATTTACTTACACTGTTACTGTACATATACTCGCTCTGATCACTTGATCATGCCTTGTGCATGTCTCACGAGCTTCGTGAAATATACCATTATTATTATTATTATGTATTGATGTATGCTTATAACGGAAACGAAATTTCAACTGTCGTTCAACTGCTTTCCTACGTGCTGGAAATTTGGTTAGTCGAGGTCGAGACATTGCGATTCGTATTAAACGTTGTTCGTATTGTCGTTACACTAACAGCCAGCCCGGAAAACTCCCTGCATAGGCTGGATGCTCACACTAACACAGCCCTTGGATGAGATCGCAATATTGTTATCACCTGCATCTCAGAGCCGTTCTGTCGAGAAACGCGCAGCCGCAGGCAAACGCTTCCACACCAAGTAAGAAACATAATTCGGCTGGCTAAGATCCTCTCAGAGGTGCAGATGAAGCGAGAGCTGCGACTTGGGAAGGGGCAGGGCGATCAACGAGCACCTAGCGCCTTACCGACCCTGATCGAGCTTCATAACCCGAGGCACTGGCAGCTTCCGTCAATGTGAGGAAGTTGACCGTAGACCAGATGACCATAGGGCTGAACTACGCCTGCGACCACAACACAACGACTCCACCTAGCGGCAGGCAGCAATTTAGCACCAAGCTTTTGTCCGTTCACGCAGAGAGAATGGGGCACGAGAATCCGGGCAGGAAAACAACCCCTGCACCCAGGTCTTATCCGAGGATGAACCTCTAGAACACAAAGACGACAATATGGCAGAGGACCCACAGGGAAACTCCACTACTTGATCCGAGGTAAAAAAAACTTGGAGGTCACCCGGGAGCAACTCCTGGGTAAAACCCTTCAAAAGTAATAGGTGGTCAAATGGCACAGGCTCTCAGTCTTTACTACACTAACGCCTGCATCCTAATAAACAAGTGGGCCAAGCTCCGGGCTAAATCTGACCAAACGCACTGCCACGCCATAACGGAGACTTAGTTCATGTCTGAATTTTTTATTTTGGGTTTCTGCCAACCAATATTCCAGGTTTATGGCTGCGATTGTCCAGTGAAAATGTTGGGTGAGTTTGCGCTACTGCTTGTGGAGGACCATTTTATTCAGATGGCCTTGGATACCCTGTGCACGGAGAATATTCAGGCTGTGGGGTGTATAATCAAGCTCACAGGTGTGAGATTGGCAGTCCTGTGTGTTTATCGTAGCCCAAGCTCAGGCATCGACGAAAATGAGTTACTGATAGATTTTTTTCCGGCACACAACTCGGGCAAATAGGGTACTTGTCCTGGGGGATTTCGATGCACCTGAGGTCGAATGGGAGATGGAGTATGCGCCAGTGGGCAGCTTCGAAGATGAGCTACTAGAGTTAGTGCACGAATTGACGCTCATCCAGCACATCACCAATCCCACCCGATGGCGACTGGGTAACCCTAAATCTTGTGTTTAACAAAAGCAGGAATGACATCGGAAACACTGCTGTAGTTGCACCGCTAGGTAGAAGTGACCACGCTAATATCCGGTGCCAGTATTTTTGTGCTCTTCCCCCCTCTCAAGGTAAATTACGCCGACGTTACGGACGCATGAAAACAGAATGTCTCCTGGCTGCCGCTCAGGTCATGGTCTGGTCAGAGGCAAACTATGGGGTTGTAGAGTCGTGGGACTTCATCAGGGATAACCTGCTGACTCTAACCAATAGTTTCGCACCTCTGTGTCCCGTTAGGTTAAGGACCACCCCACGTTAGTGGTCCAGCCCAATGTAATAATCCCTGATTAGGAAGCGGTTCGCATGACAACGCCTCTGTGTCACAGGTGGGCATCTAAGGCACCTTCAGTACTTGCAAGAGCAAAAGTCCTTCGACTGCATCCTCCTGGATTCCAAAAGAGCTTTTGAGCTTTCCCTGGCCAAGAAAGCAAGCGCTCCCCTAAGGCCTCTTATGGGTTCGTCCAGTTTAAGTCGACTGCAATGGAAGCAGTATGCTGTATCAGACAGAAGGACGACACCTCGTAACGACAAACTCCCAAACGGCCATCGCCCTGTGTGAGCACTTCCAGGGTGTTCACACGAAGGATGAGAGCGTCAGTGACCCGTTCACCAGCCAGCAAAATCCAAGCTGATGGAGGAAATAATTTCCTACCGAAGGAAGTGGAAAGACCCTGGGCAGTTTGAATAAGAGCAAACCGGCGGGTCCGGTAAGCGAGTAGCATCCAAACGCGGTTTTATTCAAAACATTCAAGGTTATTTGATCAATCCCCATTATCCAAGCCATGAACGAAAATCCCAATTGGAGACATTTGTCGCCCAAAAATTATTTCGCTTATTGAAGTCTTTCAAAATAACGCCAGATTCCTTGAGTCAGCCGATAAAAAACAAATTAAAGGGAAATTTCTTTACCATAAAAAATAAAAATTAATATTGATTATTATATGAATCAATTCTTGGCTACGAAATGGACGCAAACTTAGTGGATAAGAACTTCCCGTTCCATATAACTATCACAAACTATTCCAAGTACTATTCTGAAACTTTCAGCCTAAGATCATCGACGCATACGAAACACAACTAATATTTTGTCAGATTTCGAAAAGTGTCCCACTGAAATTTGTGCATGGCTTGTCCTCCACCCTTTACCCTGCAAGCCTTTCTAACCTGAATCCGTACCCTATCGGAACCCGGTGGATAAGAGGTGTTATCTTTCTACTGTACAACCTCCAGCAGGGTTAATAACCTCTTCTTGAGCACTAGTATGGATAATCTTCGTGGGCATAACATGAAACTCTTCAAAGACCGTACCCATGCACTAATCCACCAGTGCTCTCTTACCCACTGGGTCATTCCTACTTAGAATAGCCTCCCCGAAGAGGTATTTAACGCACCCACAAAATCTGCATCAAAAAAGAATCCATACCTATAACTTGGTCTAATACCTGAACCTAATTCAAAACTGGGAGAACAATAACTCAAATTGGCGTGGCATTAAAAGGCCGTTTTCAGTCACTTTGGGCTTTTGATGCCCACGCTCATCGACTGAGGCAATGCGCACAAACGTATGCTTCCTCTCCACTGTAAGCAGCGCAACTGCTGTATTCGTCGACCGCATTTCTAGCACTGGATTCATTGCTGCTCATCGTCCAAATCGACCGTATTCCACGCAGATTTGTCGACACTGCAACAATTTGCCTTCATCGGTGATACCGGATTGGTTTGCCTTCTGAGTTTAGCGTCCAGCTTTTACGTTTCTGATGTCATTGTTGTCAGTCTTCGGAACATAGCATGATCCAGTGGGTCACCTAGGACTATTTCGTCTTCCTCACCATCGACTGATCTACTCACTAAAACTGATTTCCGCTTTTCAATCGAATCGCTTGTTGAAGCTACTGGTGGATTATTGGTTCTCACCTTGACACTCGTAGACAGAAGACAGGTACGCTTAATCTCCGTAGTCTGTGTTGCCAAGCTCTATCTATCGAATAATATCTGGATATCCGGGTACTTCCCTGTCATAGCTGCTACACGTCGAAGTTGATTGCATTGAAAATTGTAATTCACTGTACGTTAACCATTGAAAGAGACGCCCAGCTCTTGAAGGACATCCTCTGTTCGATCTAAATTTGATGACTTACCCATGGCGTTTCATGAGATCGCTATTACCACAGTGGAATTCTGATCTGAACAACCTTCGTTGCGATTTATAATCCACCTATCCCACTTAGTCGGATCGAATACCCTGGCTATATGCAAACAAGGCAACAACCATTGTGCATAGAAATAACAAACACTTCGTTTCCCCGCGATAATTGCTTAATGACCCTTGCCCTTACTACCCACTACCATGAAGAACCCTCTCCCGTGTACAATTTGTTTAATCTTATGACTTCCAGGTACTTATAATATATTTCGTGCAAATGGTGTTACTCGTATGAGCAACGGTTTAAACGATTGCTTCTCGCTGGGGGTCAGATACCCCTTCATGGAATCTTTAGCACGGTGAATTCCATGCGTCACTCCCAGTGACCTTTACCGTTGTAGTACTTTCTCAGATACGTCCACTAATAAACACCGAGGAGACAAACCTGTCTTGAGGGGCCTATTTTCGGTCTCCACCCGGTTGGTAGTTAGGTTTCCTAAAGTCAACCTAGTCCTCACGGCATACCCCGTCCACTGCTCTCGGTATGGTAACCACGTTCGGCTTAAACAAACGGCTGTTTATGTGCTACGACGTTCTATGGCGGCTAGGAATCTACGAAACGATACCTCACTATCACAGTACACCATGTTCTGTATCCATTGAAAAATGCGCTGCTTTCGAACGTTGGCATACCAGAGAGCTGGTTACGTTTTTCTTCACATCCTTAACCAGATGGAAACGACAAAATACAACATTAGCGGAAGGAAAGTATTCTATAATGAGCCAAGTTACGATCGACTACTATAATCTTGCGTCATGCAAAGGCTGGACACAGCTCTCATGGCTCACACGGCTGTTATTAGGTAAGATATCGTAGAAGAAACTTCTACCTAAACCGGTATCAACTATAAGAATAGCATGCCAAAACACGTGCCCACCACAGTTTAACTCGTCCGCGGCGTCTGCTAACAAAACATCATTAAACCTGGCGACGCAGTGCAGCATAATCTTTGGAACAAAATAAATGTGACGAACGACGCCTTCGTTCACCTCTACCCTCACCTCTCCCAGATCATCGAGCATAACCCGAACTTTCACTGCATCGCCCGGTGAATCCGATTGAGACCTTGTTTAACGTATGTATCTAATAGCCGCCGTAGTTAAGGGTCTCCTGAACCTTTGTATGGTAAAATCTCTTAGCTCGCGAGTACTTCTAAAAGTTTCCATCGAAGTACACACCTCCTCTTCCTGTTCTCCAGATAGACGACGATTAACTACATATGAACACCGCTGACCCACATGGAAGTCATGATTGTTCACCAGAAAACGTCTCATCACTCGGTACTCCCTCCCGACTGCTCGAACTCCGACAAATGCCAGACAATTCATATTTTGCAGTCTAAAATGGGTCAAATACATTAGAAATGGGAGCTGCAATCATCTGGTTGCAGTTGGGCGCCCCTTCGATGATGTAGACAGTAATATTTGATGAAATAGTACGAGAAACCCTCAGGTGGGGTCAGTTTCCGACCAAACGTTCTCTCGTATCAGTTGCTCGGTTGTCCTTGATGCATAAACGTAGAAGGAATTATTGGTAACCCTTTGGAATTCACGGAAGTCCTCCAAGAACCTGTCCAGCGACCCATAGCAATTTTTTACCACTCGTTCAAAAACTACCGTATCGTCATCGTGACCCATGGTTTGTATGAGCGTGCAAGTGATCGTCGCCATGAGGTTGATGTATTTACACTTTCCGGACAAAGTCAATTAAGGTTAATTGAAACAAACTAAGCTTTTAACAAATTACTCAAATTTAGCCGAAAGTAAAACTTGTTCAATTTCATACAAATCTGACAACATTTTTTCTAAAATACATTTAAAGCTCGGTCGTTTTTGGTAAACCTAATAATTGGGATGCCACGTTACTAGCTTTCTGGACGTTGTAACTGAAC